AAGAGTGAGACCCCATCTCTACTAAAAATAGATAATTAGCTGGGCATTGTGGTGGGCACTTGGAGTCCCAGCTACTCGGGAGGGTTGGAATGTAAATAAAAAGAAAACAGGCTTGGCGCCTATAGCTCAGCAGCTAAGGCGCCAGCCACCATACACCGAGGCTGGTGGGTTCAAACCCAGCCTGGGTCTGCTAAACAACCATGACAACTGCAACAAAAAAACAGCCAGACATTGTGGCGGGCACCTGTAGTCCCAGCTATTTGGAAGGCCGAGGCAAGAGAAACCCTTAAACCCAAGAGTTTGAGGTTGCTGTGAGCTGTGATGCCACTGCACATTACCCAGGGTGACATAGGGAAACTGTCTCAAAAAAACCCCAGAAAATCTTATCAAACTGTACATCTAAATATGTGTAGTTTCTTTTATGCCAATTATGCCTCAGTAAAGCTATTATTTGGGGGGAAAAAAATCTCTTTTCCAATTTTGTTATTGGAAGAGATCCCAAAGCAGTAATAGTAGCACACTTATCTACATCTTTAGCAAACTGATTTTGGTCTTTAATATTACTCTAATATTTTTAAAAGAAGCAGGCTTTTTAGCACCTGTAGCACAGTGGTTGGGGCGCCAGCCACATACACCGAGGCTGGTGGGTTCGAACCCAGCCTGGGCCTGCTAAACAACCATGACAACTGCAACAAAAAAATAGCCGGGCATCGTGGCAGGTGCCTATAGTCCCAGCTACTTGGGAGACTGAGGCAAGAGAATCACTTAAGCCCAAGAATTAGAGCTTGCTGTGAGCTGTGACGCCAGGGCACTCCACCAAGGGTGACATAGTGAGACTCTGTCTCAAAAAAAAAAAAAATAATCAGGCTTTTTGGAGAATTGCTGATTCTATGTCTCAGGTCATGACAATAAATCAATGTGTTTTTTTCCTAAGATGGAGTCTTTGTTGCTCTGGGTAGAGTGCTATGGTGTTATAGCTCACAGCAACCTCAAACCCTTGGGCTCACGTGATCCTCTTGCCTCAGTTTTCCCAAGTAGCTGGGACTACAGGCACCTGCCACAATGCCTAGCTAGATTTTCTATTTTTAGTATAGATAGAGTCTTGGTCTTATGTAGGCTGATTTCAAACTCCTGAGTTCAGGCAATCCACCAGCCTTGGCCTTCCAGAGTGCTAGGATTACAGGCATGTACCACCATGCCTGGCCTCTTTTTTTATTTGATGCCCTGGGTAGAGTGCCATGGAGTCATCATAACTCACAGCAACCTCCAACTCTTGGGCTCAAGCGATCTTCTTGCCTCAGTTTTTTTCAGTTTTAGTAGAGACAGGGTCTCACTTTTGCTCAGGGTGGTCTCAAACTAGTAAGCTCAAACAATCCACCCACCTTGGCCTCTTAGAGTGTTAGGATTACAGGTGTGAGCCACAGTCTCACTCTGTCGCCCCAGCTGGAGTGCAGTGGCATCATACCTCACTGCAACCTCAAACTCCTGGGCTCCTGCTTCAGCCTCCCAAGCAGCTGGGAATGCAGGTGCACATCACCACACCTGGCCAAGTACACGCTTCTTGTTTCAACCTGTGCGGCAGGTCATCGGGGGAATGGTAAAGAAAGGACCTTGGAAAAGCCGCTCCTCTGTTAAGAGGAACAAGAACACTAGCAAAAGTCATCAAAATCAACTTTCTCAGAAAACTCTGGATATTAACTCAAGCCTTGTAATAATCTGGGAAATGTTTATTCAAGAAAAATGACCGAATCATGGCAAGTACAGAGAGTTTTGTGGCAGTTTAACCTATTCCCATCCTGGGAAGGCAGCAGCTCAAGAAGCACTGAAGAGCATAGGAGTGGAGCTCCTCCTAAGTGCCATCCCAGCTAACTGTCACTATTTGATATGCATAGCAGTTGCCTAGACAATTGCCTTGGCACCTTGAGAACAGCTTTTCCCCAACGGGATTTTCAAAAATAATAGCGGCAACTGTTTATCTTCCCAGATGCTTGAGGCAACAGTATGAACTGGGGCAGACAAGGTGACCAAAAACTCTACATGAAAAGCTGGGAAATAAGATGGCCATACAAGGGCTTGACAAGTTCTGACATATTCCTTGGAATCTGGGTCATGTGCATGTGTGGGGCTGTACACATGCCCAGGAAAGCCCTGAGGAGGCCCTAAGCTCCCATCTCTGGCTGACGCTGAGGCTGCATATTCGTAGGAAGTGAAGGCTCACACAGAATTGCAAACCACCTGCTTAACTATTGACAATGTGCCTGGCATGCACACAGAGCTCCTGGGGAAAGGCTGGGTCGGAATGGCTCTAGGCACTTAGGGCAATCTCCATCCAATCTCCATTTGACTGCTAAACTAACCCAGCAAAGTGCTCACACATGACAAAAAATACAGATTTTATGGAATTAGAATTAGTTCAAAAAGTTGCAAAACAAACAGCATCAACAACAAAAACAAACACTGGCTGGGAGTGTGCATCTAATTTCCAGAGTTGACACATTACGTTATTTTATTTTACTTTTTTGAGACAGAGCCTCAAGCTGTCGCCCTGGGTAGAGTGCTGTCGCATCACAGCTCACAGCAACCTCCAACCTGGGTTTAAGTGATTCTCTTGCCTCAGCCTCCCAAGTAGCTGGGAACTATAGCTGTCTGCCACAATGCCCAACTATTTTTTGGTTGTAGTTGTCACTGATGTTTGGCAGACA